AACGTATACAGGAAAAACCAGCCGAAGAACAGCAGAGTCGTGGTAGAAAGTTCGGAGATGGTATTAAAGTAGCTCAGTTTAAATGTATTGTATGAATTGCCCTTACTATGAAATAAAAAATACGGGGTGTCTATTTACATTTAGTTAAAAGTGGCTGTGAAACATCAGCTTCAGTGGTGCAGATGGATAAAAGTGTGCCTTTGGCTTTTTGACACGCTCGACCCGGGTTCAAAAATAAATGCCTTTACGATGTGATACGAGATTTGAAAAGGGAGGGGAAAAAAAAGTTCGGCAAAAGGCGGGATCGAACCCGGATCGATCACGTCAAAAAGCCAAATGCAAGTGCTTATCCATCTGCGCCACTGGAGCTAATGTTTAATGGTCACTTTTAACTAATTGTAAATATACACTCCGTATTTTTTATTCCAAAGTCAGGGCAATTCATACAATACATTTAAACTGAGCTACTTTAATACCATCTCCAAACTTTCTACCAGGACTCTGCTGTTCTTCGGCTGGTTCTTCCTGTATACGTTGATTGACAGATGTCCAGTCAGCGGTGAGTAATCCCAACCAATGGCGCTGTCTCAAACTATACCTACCTTTTCCGGTTTGTCTGATTTATCGTTGTGTTTTCTGACTTGTTAATTTGTTTTCGGATTTATCATTGTGTTTTCTGACTTGTTATAATGTTTTCTGAATTGTTATTTTGTTTTCTGACTTGCATTTGCATTTGTAATTTGTTATTTTGTTTTCAGAATTGTGATTTGTTTTGCACTTCTCGGCCACCGTAAATATTTCATAGCAAAAAAATGCATATGTAACAACAGAGATATCTATGACTTTTTAAAGATTTTACTTATTTATATCCAGACTTATATCCAGGCCTGAAAAATTACAATTTTAAAATTTCGAAACATTTTTAGGTTTTCCATGAGCGTTCCAGTGGAGACGGCACCTGTTAGGAATGGTAGTGGCTCCGTCACTGGATGGCGCTGTTGAATACCAAAAGGTCTGCCATAGCTTCTCTATGAGATGGAACTGCAAGTTCATAACTACATCCAGAGTAGCCTGACGGAAAGAAATCAGGTTTAAATACAAAGTTTGAACATAGCTCCAGGCTTAAAAACATTCAAACAGGAAAATGGTTCCTTAAGATACTTCAAATGCATGTCTGACATCACATACCACGCAAAACAAATAATATCGGATCAAAAACACTGATGTGATGTCTTTTTTATGGGCTGCAAGAAGATCTTGAGAAGCTCCCATATAAGTTATGAGAACATCCTTATATGAACTGAGAACTGAACTGAGATTTTGTCTTTCCTGTTGGCATAGACAACTAGATCATCTCAAGTACGGCCCACTCACGACATCAACACCCATCTCACAGTTTTATGAAAACAGTACTCAATCAGAAGCACCCATCTTGAAGGCAATCCACATGAATAAACTCAGATTTCAACTACATCTTATATTGGGTTTTAGGGCCAAAAAAGGACGTTTAGTCTGCGTGATGAGCATGGTATTTTAGCAAACTGTGACACACAGAAACAAAAGTAGGTGTTGGAGCTGTATTGGAGAGCAGAAGTGAGAGTGTGGTGAGTTCAGAGTGTGTTTGTCTCAGTGATTCACACTCGGCTCTCAGATTCTCCTCGATGAGGACACACACTCTTGTATCCAGTTACACAGGCCCCCCCTCCTCCTCTCGCTGGTCACATGCTATGTTTTGGCTTCCTCAGCCAGGTCACCATGGCAACCTTGTTTACCGTTGCCCCGGCAACAGTTCAAACACAGCACTCCAAAACAAAAAGAGAGAAAATTCTCTTTCCCAGACAAACAAGCTTTCTTACCTTGGTCGAAAGAGGGGAAAAGCCCTACAGTCCTACTTCTAGAGGACAAGTCGATGATTTTTAAAATGTATTGCATTTGTGAACTCTGAAAAGTCTGTTTTATAAACTTACAGCCAATTCAGGCAGCACTAAAGGCGTAGAGATGTGACTTCCTGAAATGTATCAGCAATGTTGTTGCTCTGCTTCTACTTATAAGTTTGAAGATCATAATTTAAGATATCTGAGTGATTTTGGACAAATTCAAATTGATATTTTGGGCAATTTCCTATTTTTCTTTCTTTTTCGCTGCCTGACAAACGCTGGAAACTTTTCAGCACTAGTGTAACAAATAAAAAGTGATAGAACATTTTGGTGTTCGCTTTATTTCTATTTTTAGTCCTATATATCATGAATAGGGCGGCAACAAATGCTTATTTTGCTCGATTAATCTAACGATTATTACACCGATTAATCGACTAATCGTCAGTTATTTCACCAATTAATCAGTAGGCTTTGTTCTATTATTCTGCTTTTACAATTTGTTAAAATACTGAGTTTTGCATATTCTAACTAAAAAATAAAGCAAGGTAAACACTTCAGCTTTGAAGTGAATGTCAAACAATTATATTACTACTGTACAATTTATTTAACAAATAATTTTTTACAATACAAATAAATATATTTGGCACACAAAATGAGATGACAGAGAGACTTTCTCATTCACCATTTAATTAACTGTAAGAAGAAGCAATTGATTGACTGAGTGATGCATCATTCTGCCTAATATCTCCTTTTGGAAGTCATATATGGAACAAAATAAAACGCCGAGACATTTTTTTTTCGATAAATTATTTTATTAACAACATTAGCTCTCTTAAAGCACCTTATAGTGTTATAGTAATCAAAATAGTCCTGAGCTAGAGCAAGCTTTAATCTATGCAAACCAAACTATCACTTTAAATGTAATGATTTTTTATTTATTTGCATTTATCCATTTATTTTTGTATTCACAAATAAAAAGATTCTATCATTACATTAGCTAGCTCCACAATGGACATCAGTCTGTTGTATAAAGCGCTATATAAATAAACGTGACGTGATTGGAGTGCCGACTGCAGAGCTGGTGCAAACGTATCCACATCGCTATGATCAGATGCTTTCTTAACTGCTGTTTTCTCAACGCTGTCATTTTTGTTGTGTGTTTATTTCGTTATTGAGAGGAAAGAGCGCAGCACATATTTACATATTCATTTAAAATAGAATTTAGAAAAAGCAGAATTAAAGTCTTGCGCTGGTCAAACCACGTTATTACAGGCTCTTACGACTTGAACGACTATTCAACACAAATATTTGTCGACAATTTTTTATTGCCGATAATGTCAACTAATCGTTTCAGCCCTAACCATGAAATCTCATTGGTCCAAAATCCCACTGCTACCAAAAACCCACTATTAATCATCAAATATGTTCTGTTTGCCTGTGATTGTGCTGTGTTGAACAAAGTCTGTCACTGGAAACCTGGCTAACACAATATTACTTTCAAGAGAGTTAAAATTAAATATTCAGAATGCAGAATCGCTTATATTTGTGACCCTGGACCACAAAACCAGTCATAAGGGTCAATTTTTCGAAATTGAGATTTATACATCATTTATATATCATCTGAAAGCTGAATAAATAAGCTTTCCATTGATGTATGCTTTGTTAGGATAGGACACTATTTGGCCGAGATACAACTATTTGAAAATCTGGAATCTGAGGGTGCAAAAAAATCTAAATATTGAGAAAATCGCCTTTAAAGTTGTTCAAATGAAGTTCTTAGCAATGCATATTGCTAATCAAAAATTAAGTTTTAATATATTTACAGTAGGAAATGTACAAAATATCTTCATGGAACATGATCTTTACTTAATATCCTAATGATTTTTGGCATAAAAGAAAAATCAATAATTTTGACCCATACAATGTATTTTTGGCTATTGCTACAAATATACCCAAGCGACTTAAGACTGGTTTTGTGTTCCAGGGTCACATTTGAATGATAACTTCATGAGTTCATGATTTGTGTGGCAGAAATAACACTCTTTCCTGTATGTTTTACCAGTAGCAAATTAACTTTTTTGTCAGGAGCGAGGAGCACACAAAAACCCACAGCCGGACGGTAAAGATCCTGCTGGATAAAAGGTTAATTGGGAAGACTGAAAACTCCTAGTCTGAGGGATGAAAGAAGCCCAGGAACAAAAAGGTGTGCAGTGGACGGGGAGGGACAGAAAGCGAGATGGGGAAAGAGAGAAAAAGAAAATAAGAGCTCTAACATGGCAGAAATGACATTAAAAGTGAGAGCTATGAAATGAAGATGGGTTGAGTCCATGTGTCAAAATATTAAGAGCAGTGCTACACTCCGACTGTAATGAGACCAGCCGCATTCTGAAAGCAAAACTCAAGAACATGTCAAACTACAAACTCTGTCAGCAAAAAGTACGAGAGGGAGGTGGAATACTAAGAATGAGGCCATCAACAGCAAAGAGAGGGTTTTTTCTTTTCGCACAGTTTTTCATTACCTGTAGATATACTGCTGCGAACACAAATGAAGTGCCGTTTATTCTTTCATTAAAACACACTGAAACTGAAAGTAAAACTTAGAGAAAGAGGGTGTTGCAATTAAAAGTGTTCTATACAAGGTTTAGTACTATGAATTTATTATAATATTTACTTCCCTTTCTGGAGTGTGATGAAGCAAAACATTTTTATTATGAGAGATCACAGGGCAGAAATCTAATCTCTCTTAAAACACTCCCTTTTCAGCACACATAAAATAAGGAGTTGCTTCCTTTCATGAATACTAAATTCTTTATCTACTAACTTCTGAAGATAATATAGTCACAGAGAGAACATCATTTTATTTATATATACTGTATATAGTTTTGGGAGCCATCATCCTTTGCAAAGCATTATGCTCATTACTACTAAGAAAAACATTCTATATAAATGCAAACTACAACTAATAGTATTATTATTATTATTGATATTATATACACTTATCATTTAAAATCTTTGGGGTCAGTAAGCTTTTTAATGTTTTTGAAAGAAGTGTCTTATGCTCACCAATTTGTAAATATAGTAATATTCTGAAATATTTTTACAATTCAAAATAACTATTCTGTTATATAACTATTCTATTTTTAAATTTTACAATATTTAAAAATGTAATTTATTCCTGTCACAAGATCCTTCATAAGTCATTCTAATATGCAGATTTAGTACTCAATATACATTGTTATTATCATCAATGTTAATAACAGTTGTGTTTAATACTGTTTGTGGAAACCGTGATACATTTTTCCAGGACTGTTTAATAACTAGAAAGTTCAAATGAATAGCATTTATTTAAAATAAAAAATCTTTTGTAACATTATAAATGTCTTTACTGTCACTTTTGATCAATTAAATGCATCCTTGGTGAAGTATTAATTTCTTTTAAAAAATCCTAAAGACCCCAAACTTTTGAACAGTAGTGTAATAAAATTTTGTAATTAAATGATCATTTTAAAAAATATTATATAAATAAATTATGTGTCTTGTGTATTAAACACGGACAGTCCTACTGGGCTTCTTGCAAACTTTCAGACTGTTCTCAAGTTTTGCTTTGGGTCTAAGAAAAGCAAGTTATAAATAAAATGCGTTATTATTATTATTATTCTCCTAGCTGGAAGAACAAGGCTCACATTCATGGTGGAAAATATGTGACACATTGTTGCAAGAAAACTGGCTTGGATAGATTAGTGTAACTATTTGCTGAGGCATATTTAATTAAGCTTTGTACTTCTTTAACATTCTTATTATTCAATAATCATACAGTACATTCTTGCGTACTTGATATGATCTGTACTCACACTCATGCTGATTCATTCATTTATACATTCACATGTACTTTTTTTTACTTTCATACTAATTTCAAATTATTAAATAGTTTGAAGTTGAATAAGCATACGATAACAACAACATTTTATTTCTTCTGGTATACAGTAAGTGAGAGTTTATCTCTGCCAGGGTGTCTGTATTATTTTCTAAAGATAGCTGTTAAGGAGTTGCTTCCTTTACATGAAAACTGTGAAGCTCTTCCTTCCACTGGGAGATTTGCATCATGACACTTTTTGCCTTGACTACAAAAAAAAATTCCACAACAGTGTGCAGTACCTCACAGTGAATCCTGTAGTTGCTCTGTAGTTTTTTCACATCGTTCATGCTGATTGGCTCAGGCAGAGGACAGGAGCCCAGATCAGGAGAAGGGAAGGGGGGCAGGACGTGAGACACATCTGCCAAAAACACACACAAAGCAGGCACACTTAAGAGTTGGTTGTGCATGTACACTGATGATTTTGTTGTGATTGTATGTAAATTAAAAATCAAATCTATTAAATCTTATGGAGAAGGTTTACCAATGTACTGCTGGTGATGCTGGCTCTGTGCCGCCACACTCTGCTCAGGGGTGCTGGACGAGTGCTGAGAGCCGCTGTTCAGACTGTCCCCCATCCCATCCATCTTGTGAAAGGGCTTAAACCTGGATACAGGAAATAGCAACAGGAGGAATAAATGTAGAATTCACTACTGGGGATTACAGAGGATATGACTAAGAGAAAGAGAGAGAAGAGCATTTTCCATCAGGGTGCAGAGCCAGTGTCCAAGATGAAGCTGTTCTGTGCATTTCCAAATGCAAATAAAAAGTGGTTTTGACACTTAAATCTGATAGTTTGGAATCGCTAACATCAGAAGCCCAGAGGGCAGCATGATGTTTGCAAAAGAAGAAGAAGAACAACTCAGTAACATAACTGAGCGAATGACACTTAATGACAGTTGTCGTAAACATGCATACAACCTCCTTCATATTCATGACATGTGTCATGTCATGATTATGAAGGTGTCATGTCAGTCTTATGCACACCCCTTCAAGTAAAGTGTTACCTTTCAGTTTTCTTTTTATTCAAGTTGAAGTTTTTATTTAAGTGAAATTGTGTTTCTTTTTATTTTAATAGTGTTTGTTTTGATTTGTTTTTTTAAATACCTCTATTTAGCTTTCTTTTATTTTTATTTCAGTTTTATAGTAATTTTACTAATAGTACTAGTAATTTTAGCAACATTTCTAATGTTCAATTAGAATATTCATAGAATATTAATAGAATGCTCTTAATATTTAGGCTACGTTTACACTAGTGCGAATACATTGTAAAACACACAACTTTTGCTACGGTTACACCTGTCGTTTACATTAACCCGGCGTTTTCGACCCTCGAAAACGGAGGCTTTCGAAAACACTGCAGACCCCGTTTTAATTTGAAAACTCCGGGGTTGCGTTTCAGTGTAAACGGACCAAAACGGAGACTTTTGAAAATGATGGCATGGCTGTCCACATTCGGCTCTGTGTATCCTTGATGACTGTGTAAACCATGACATCATGCACATTGTTGTACCTGCATGAATGATCATGTGACCTGCGTTTTCAGTTGTGTAGTGTGGACGGAGAATGTTTCTGAAACGCAGTGAAAACGCAAGTGTAGACAAGGATCGTTGTCATTTTAAAATGCCGTTTTAAAAACAAAAACGCACTAGTGTAAACAGGGCCTTATAATATTTAGATTTTATTTTAGCTTTATATCAATTAACAAAAACAATTTAGTTTTAGTTAACACAGGGTATAAATACATTTTAAGACCTCATTGCCACTCCAAGTTTTAACCGGTTACATCGGCGACACTTTACCTTACATTTACTAAAACTTATTGAGGAGGGAAAATAAAGCTCTCCGAGCTAACGGGGCAATGAGTTCACACAGTATATTCAAAAGATGTATTTGTAACATCAACTCTTATGTGGTCTGCAAACCATAGCTGTTTTGTGGAACATTTCTCATGACAAACACCTGACTGGTCAGACAGTTTACCTGTGATTACAGAGTGCCTGATTTGATGCAGACTTGACAAAGAGTGTCAGTACTGCACCTGATCAAGTCTGAATGGTCATGGAAGGTAAAATAATGATCACAACTATTACATCATTTTAATAGTGCATCCCAAGCCAGTAAAAAAACAGCCCAACGTAGCGCAATGACCATGTCCCGAACATCAAAATATGTAATTTCCATCCCTAAAATACATATTTTACAGTCAATGTTATGCACAATGATCATAAACACAGCTCAAAGGCTTCCTACTAGTGGCCCTCCTTCACAAAACATTTAGCACAGTTTTATTACAGGTAGAATGCAAAATGTTTGAGTAAAAGCATTTCAGTCAAATGTAATTTATGTAAAATTTAAAACCTTTAACCCACTGGGGAAAATCAATCCATGGCAACAGTTTAAAATCATTGAAAAATATCTTATATCTTAAGGTGTGCTCCATTTACACAATGTGCGTGCGATCGCGAAATCGAAAGTGCTCATTCAAAAGCCAATTAAATACCCCACATATTGATAGTGGCTCCCTGATGCGCAAAAAATTATATACAATATTAGAATGTTTGTGGGAACGGACACAAAAATTGCAGGAGCAGATGGGAGCAGGCGGTAATGGTCAGAAATTCAGAGAGAGCGGGATCAACAAACCCCGTGCTATCACGCAGCGGCGCAGTCAGTCAGTGAGCACCGTAACAGATGACGTCAAATCTTGCAGGATTCCATAAATAAACTACACAGAACCCCACTATTCGGACAAAGATACATAATGAAAAGATGATTGGATTGGATGGAAAATGGCATTGAAGACCTTTTAATACTTTTTAAGGGCCTTAATTTTCTCTAAATTGATTTATCAACTTTTAATACTTTTTAAGACCCCGCGGACACCCTGTAACAATAACAACACTGGAACAACATGAGGCTGGGTAATTGACAAAACTGAATAATTTCTTTTAAAAAAGTTAGCTGAATGGATGATAAAATTTGGTCAAATGTTTTGTAAACATGCAAGGGGTGGAGTGTGTGCAGAATTCTTGCACAGCACACTGATAGCAGCGTTATGTCAGTCTCATCTCAGGCCTCACGCAAGAAAAGGATATTTGTATAAGTGTAAATATCCATAGCCTTAAGTTAAGGTGTCGGTCTACAACAAGATAAATAAATGTGCTGGTCTCAAGAGCTTAGAGCCACTTCAGACTCCCAACTATTTAACTATTCAACTGCTTCAACTATTTCTACTTGGATATGACTCCCCTGGCAATTTAAGATTAAAAATATAAATATAAAATCCGTAAATATAAATTTGAGTCTTTGATATTCAGGGGTACATCTCGCATATAAACATGGTGATCCCTGGGACATTGACTGAATCAGTGGTGTCATCTAAATGCAGGGGGTCTGAGGAGACCCAAAATACACAGAGCGAGGGGCTGTTCTGGAAAAAGCATGCTCACAGCAGCAGTGAAAAGCAAAGCGAAGAGACAGGCAGGATAAACTAAGCCTTTTTTTTCAGGATTTGTTCCAGTTTCAATAAAGTTTTTTCTCAGTTTGACTTACATGGCTGTTGAGCAGGCTGCTTTTGTGAGTGGCAATCCCTTCTGACTTTTGGAGGTTTTCAATCGCCACTTCAAGCTAAGGAAAAGTAGGAGCATGCAAGACATGAAACAGGGGAAGAGAAGGAAAAAAATGGAGGGGGTGGAATGTTGGGGGGGACAACAGGGAGGGAAAAAAGACACACACAAAAAGAAAAGGAAATCAGTCTGTTAGCTGCGGCCAGACATTGAGCATTTCCATTACAGTCTGTCAGTGTTTGCAGCCACATTCATTATGGGTGGACAAAAAGCATGCAAATGTGAGGAACTCGGAGGGTTACGCCACTCTTCCTGTCTCAGCCTCATATATGCTAATGAACTGCACACACAGGGCGTGAGGTCAGGCGACTCTCAAACACATGAGACGAGCTCTCTAGCCACTTCTGAAATCATACAGTTAGCAGGGTTGTGCCCCCTGCAAAGACACGGTCACATTTAACGCATGATGCTGAAAAAGCAGATTTAATTTGACTCTAATAAACATGTTTTTCTGCAGGTATTAGCTGGGAAGGAGGATATAAGTTTCTGCTATTGCATTCATTAACCAGAATTAATTTTTTCCCATAGTGGGCATGAAAAAAAAAAAAACAATTTCAAAAGTTAGAATAAAGAAGCCTGAAAAGAGATTAAGAAGAAAAGATTAGAGAAGGAGAGAAATGTAAAGAGGCAGAAAGAGAAAGTTTTAGCAGAGTGGCAAAACTTATAAAGAGAAAGAGGGAGACAGGGAGAAAGAAAAAAACAGGCATCCTTCCAAGTCAGTAAAGCATATCTGCGTTTCGAGGTTCTGACAGTATGCTGGGAGAGAGAGAGCGTGATGGAAAGACAAAGACAGTCGCGAAAGAGATATGTAGAGAGGCAAAAGATAAGCCAGAGATGTTGTGGGTCCTCAGGATGTGCAGTGAGCATGCAGGGCTTGATTGACTGTCCTGTGTGTGTGTGTGTGTGTGTGTGTACCTGCTGAGGGACCTGTTGTACTCTAGGCACTGGCAACTGCTGCACCTGAGCTCCCTTCTGGGAAGAGCCGGTGGCCTGAACTAACACACGCTGCAGGTGAGGGACACACACACACACACACACAAATGTAAAAATTAGACCCTTTTCTCTTTAAAAGGTCAGGTGCGTAATTTCTTCGATGTTAGAATACCATTATCCCAGTTTAATATGGAAAGAGAACTGAAAGTAAACCATTTTTGTGGCAATTTCAGTCTCAACCAAAGGTGTGAACTTGGGGTGGGACTACCTGTTTGTCCAAATAATGGAAGACGGGTGACAGGGCATTTCTTTGTTGCATCAAAATTCACACATTTACACACAAAAAAAGAAGAAAAACCACTGCGAAAGATCTTAATATCTTGAGAAAGTTCACTGGAAAGTTTCGTTTATGAAAAGTGTCGTCATTGATCCAAACTGCAAGCACCACGAATGTTACATACAAGGAGTCTATATTACATTCTGTGCTGGTTTTCGTCAAATCCTCTACAGCTGTCCAGGGAAATGTGATGCTCTACTCAAAATATTAACCGAAATTACATAAAGACCAGTTTCTTTGGATGTGTGGTTGATCCAAACCCAACATCTCCCTCAGCAGCACCACGCAAAGTCGCTGCTAATAATTTCAAGTGGCTTTGACAGATGAAGGGTGTGGGTGAGGAGAAATTTTTTATAGATGGATCCAGTGCTTATTGTAAAGCATCTTTAAAGAAATTCAGACCAATGACAGAAGAGCTAAAGCAGCTCAGATTTTCATATTAAACAGCTCATGTGGGAGGAGCTTCCTTAATTTTTATTATGCTACTTTTGTGCAGCAGTGTTATGAAAGATCATACCGAGCCTGCTTACCTGTTGGGAGGCGGGAACGGGCTGAACCACCGGCGCCTGGGCTGAAGTGGATGTTCTCAGCGCCACAGTGGACGCCGTCTCCGAGCCGCCCTCTGACCGCTGCATGGTTTCTCCTGAGCGTGCGAGAGACACAGAGAGAGGAAGTGAAAAATATGAAAAAGAAAAACAGTCGTTGGTTCCCAATTTGCGTACTATCCATATTAAATAGTTGCACACTGCACGCAAGATTAGAATTAGCGTGTCAAAATCATTGTACCTAGCAAAAAGTATGCCAAAAGCCTGTTTACTTTTGCAAAGTGTGCATTAGTGCATGAATTTTCTGGTAATGTTGACCATAAAACTTAATGTAACAGAAAAGAAGTTTGTGCCTGTGCTTTAGCTAATGCTAACAGATGCTAGTAATAACTCTTTCTTCAATTTAAAAGTATAAACCAAATTAAATTTGAAATAATGAATTTTGCTTGGTGCAAAAGTATACAACATGGTTTATCAAGAGCAAGTTTATGACGTAATTGTAGTTTTGTAATTAGTTTACATCGTTTTAGTATGTAGTTGTTAAGTATTAGTTACAGTGGGGCAAAAAAGTATTTAGTCAGCCACCAATTGTGCAAGTTCTCCCACTTAAAAAGATGAGAGAGGCCTGTAATTTTCATCATAGGTATACCTCAACTATGAGAGACAAAATTAGAAAAAAAAATCCAGAAAATCACATTGTAGGATTTTTAAAGAATTAATTGGTAAATTCCTCGGTAAAATAAGTATTTGGTCACCTACAAACAAGCAAGATTTCTGGCTCTCACAGACCTGTAACTGCTTCTTTAAGAGGCTCCTCTGTCCTCCACTGGTTACCTGTATTAATGGCATCTGTTTGAACTCATTATCAGTATAAAAGACACCTGTCCAAAACCTCAAACAGTCACACTCCAAACTCCACCATGGCCAAGACCAAAATTGTAGACCTCCACCAGGCTGGGAAGACTGAATCTGAACCCGCGACAGCCCCAAAACATTACTGCTCTTGAGGAATGGGCCAAAATACCAGCAACTGTGTGTGAAAACCTTGTGAAGACTTACAGAAAATGTTTGACCTCTGTCATTGCCAACAAAGTGTATATAACAAAGTATTGAGATGAAATTTTGTTATTGACCAAATACTTATTTTCCACCATAATTTGCAAATAAATTCTTTAAAAATCCTACAATGTGATTTTCTGGATTTTTTTTTCTCATTTTGTCTCTCATAGTTGAGGTATACCTATGATGAAAATTACAGGCCTCTCTCATCTTTTTAAGTGGGAGAACTTGCACAATTGGTGGCTGACTAAATACTTTTTTTCCCCACTGTATGTTAATATTGGTAATAAGTATAGTTTTAATTTACCTCATGATAATGTGTTTTTCATATAAAATTTTGACAGAATATGTGAAGAGGTTAGCATTAGCTCAATTATTTTTATTTGATCAAAATCAGAACAAACTAAGAATATAATTGCATGAAGCCCCAAATAAACAATGCAGATAAATAAAAACGAGTAAAAGTTCAAAATATAGCACTGTTTTGAAGTACAGTCTACGCTAAGCATAAAGAACAGCCATGTGTCAATTACAATCTCAATATAATATTGCGATCCCTGCTGATTCCCACCACTACTAAAGATACACGACACAATCAAACTGAGAGCCAACAGGTTGCTGGAGAGGATAAGAGAGGCCCACTGAAATACAACTCGGCGCATGTGCCAGGAAAAGTGGGATACAAAGCGGCTTTTCACACCGTCTTCTTCGAAAGGACCAGGAGCTCAACCTAGCCAAGTCATGCTGAGTCACCCACATCCCCAGCAGGCTGCTCACCTCTGAACTCTATTATAAAGAAAAGAACAAAGGAGACATTAACAATCCCATCACAACCGCAGCGCAGCCCCGTTGGGTCGACGGGGAATTGGGCTCAAATGAAGATTTGAGTTTGCCACTGTCGTCGAGATCCCGTGTTACTCTCTAAAGTCTTGCAGCTGTTGATGGCGCACAGAACAACAGGAAAGAGTTGAAAAGAGTGACAAATGGAGACCAGGCAGCCTCCCACAGAAAAAAAAAAAAGATAGAATAGGAGGTGCGAGCAGGGGGACTTTGGAAAAAGTGGAGGGGCGGAAAAACAACATACCCCCCAATCATGAAAAGAAAAAGTAGGGGGGAAAAACTAAAATAGCAATGAGGCTGGTCCCCCCCCCACCAGGATACTGATGATCTCCAGCGGCTGTTTGGAATGAGAGTCCGTTTCTAGGGGCTCCAATAATACAGCTGATATGAGGAAATTCCTCAATGCTTTGTAAACGTTTGTCGGTTGCTATGGTGAGGGATCCATGGCAACTATCCCTAACTCTACCACCCCCTTCCCCTTGTGCTATTCTTTTTTAAGCTCACACACAGGAACTTTCGGAGTGCTAGAGAGACAGACAGGCTCAGAGACGGGGAACGAGAGCTATGGAGGGGGGGGCTGCGCCGATCTCTGTACATCTAAATAAGCTCTTCACCAGTCCGATGGTGCATTTACCGGCACCAGTGTGCTCAACAGGTCCCAGATCAGCGTTTATGATGTGTGCCTGCATTGATTGTGACTGACAAACAGCAGCAAAGGCTGATCTGAGAGCTCATGCGCTTCGAGAGACCTCTTGACTGACAGTTTGTTGTTAAAAGTTTAAAATAGAGCAAAAGACAAGCAACACGCTTCATACTCATGATTTCATCTGCAGGAAAAAAATGGATGCTTTTTACAGGCTATTAAAGTTTTCCTTTGGGAACAGAAGAATAAAGAACAAAAGCTAATTGTGTTTTCTGAGATTAGTTATATTGAAATAACGAATTCTCAAGTGTGAAGCTCTATTCAAAGGTAAATTAATTGCAGAAAAATCTAACTATCCCATTTTCAGAAAATAAAGGGATTGTGACGAATACAACAGATGAGTCAGGTTAGTAAAAAGCATAAACTCAAGATGACCTCTGGGTGTATCTGTCTTTTTTTTTTTTTTTTTTTTTTTTCAGTTAACACAAATTTTTGGTTTTTTTTTTACAAAAAGCCAAAAC